GAGAGGGAGGGCGCGGCCAGCCAGAGGAGGCCGCTGGGACCTCCCAGGCGCATCCTCTCCCCGGGAAGGGACAGTCACAGTTCCCTGAGTGAATCACTTCCATCCCCTTCCCGGAATGCAGCAGACCACGTGGGGCGGAGGGCTAGGTTCAGATACTGGGGACTCACGGAGAGGCTAGGAGTGCCGCATGTGGGTCCCCGTCGGGGGTGGAGCATCTATGCTACCTGAGTTTAGTGGCCTTATCTAGACTGGGATGTGGATAGGTAGGAGCCACTGTCCTTTTTTTTTTCTACGCCTTGACCAGTCTGACCATGGCCCTGAGGCAGCAGAGGGACCCTGGCTGAACCCAGCAGGATAAAGGCATTCCTTCCTTTTTCACAGCCTTTCCCTGACTCACCTCCTCATAGTAATATCCAGGTGGTTCCCAGCCAATGAGCCCTGGAAAAGCAGCTGTCCTCAGAGCTGGAGGTCACTGTGCGGTCAGATTTATCCTGTAGGCAGGGCACTGCTTCCAGGCTGTTAAGGAACTCTGAATTCTCTTTTGAAATACCCATGCAGACTAAACATGGGCATTTCCTAAGCCATGGAGAGCACTTCATAGTGAGTGGAGTTATCATCCGGCCTTGTTTCTACCAAGCCTGGGACCTCTCCTGTTCACCTGGACATTTGGTCAGAAAAGTCTTAGGTGCCTTACCTATGAGAAGGGGCTGGAGCCTCAGGGAGTGACCTCCTGGAAATCCTGAGGAGAGAAGGGCCTCCATTGTGGCCTGTTCACACCACAAGTGCCTGCCCAGCTTTGGCCATGTTGCTAGAGGTGGAACCAGGCATGAGCTATAGGTTGGAGCTTCCCAGACCAAGTCCACAGAGAGATCCTTTCTTGTTCCAGAAAGCCTGCATAGTGGGCTCTTGTAGCTCCCTGTCTAGGGTATCAGAGCTGGTGAGTGGGTTTAGCCAGCCAGCTCCTCTCCAGGGCTCTTCTCTGAGGGCCTGGCAGCCGTGCAGTCTAGCACAGCCTGGTGGTGTGGACGTGCAGGCCTGCGGGTGTCCTACCTGTCCCCCACATGGGAGCCTCGTCATCTCGCCTTCGTGTCCCAGCCCAGTTTCCCCCGCCCCCCCAGGGCCTGGGAGCCGCTTTCCTGTTTCATTTTGGGCAGGAAGAGTGAGGTCGTGTTGTTCTTCCCCCTGCTGCCGGCTCAGGCTGTGGGAACAGTTCTCTGAATGCTTTCCTGTTTGATACCCTATGAATGCAGCGAGGGGAACAGGGAGCAACGAGTGAGGCGTGGAGCCTGTGCGTGCAGGGAGTGTGATGAGCCTAGGTCTCTGGCTCTCATGTCTCTGGCATTGGCACCCAGATCAGGGGTGAGCATGCTGTATGTGTATCAAGGAGGATGAGCAAAAGGGAGGCGAATAGCACTGCATATACTTGGACTCCATTGGGAGCATCTGGTGGGTCTATTTTGCCTCGCAGAGCTGGGAGCATCTGCTCAGCTTTTTGTCAATGGCTCATTTTATTCATCATTTGTTCTCCATGGGGGATATGTCTATGGTTGTAGAGAGAGGACTGTGGCAGCTTAGGACCATCTTTCGCTTTAGAGAAAGCCAGGCATGAAGTCGAGACTGGAAACTCCTTCATTAGTGCCTCAGCCAGAGAAACCTGGACCCAAGGAAGGCCACCCCTCCCAACTCCCCCCACTGCAGTCTTCAATAAACTCCGGCAGCCCTGGGCAGACCAGGTGCCCAGACTCAGCTCTCTTGCTCAGCTGCTAGACCCAAGTCCAAAGACCAGTGCCCTGTTGGAGCTGGAAAAATAATAGGGGAGCCTGGCCTTGCCCATCTAGTCCTGAGTCTAGGCCAGCCTACCTAAAATTGTCAGGAGGAAAGACCCAGATGTCATCATGGTTCAGAGACCCTATTCTCCAAGAAGGGAATCTTTTTGAAATGAAGAAAACAGGCAGGATTGTTCCCTACCCCCAAATTCCTGAATCCCTTAGGCTGACTCCAGAGCTCATGATCTTCAGAATTGAGGAGAGAAAAGGGGGATAGATTTAGGTCAGGGGGCATATGCCCCAAGGAGTATTGGTTGCATAAAAGGAATGGGGAGCCATAGCCAGCCTCCAACCATCATGCAGGGAAGGCTGGCCTAGACTGAGGACTAGATGGGCAAGGCCAGGCTCCCCAAAGACTGGAGGGGGACAAGGGCCTGGAGCACAGAGGCCAAGCTCAAGTGTATGCATAGGTCCTGGGGGTTCTTGTTGAGCAGCTGGCAGGAATATGAAAAGGAGAGAGAGGAGGGGGAGAGGATATCTACTCAGCCATCACAAAGACAGGACCCAAGAAGTAATAAACTCCTGTACACATCTGTTCCATATTATAAATACACATTATATACAAAATAATGTTATAAAATGTAGAAAGGTCAGTGCTTCTGATTCTTAAATTATCGAAATACTAGACTCCAAAATAAACTACAAAAAAATAACCCAAACAAAATAAAAACTCATATTATTGATTTCTGAAGATCAACTGGGGGCAGTAGTGGGCATGGGCAGAGCCCCAGCTCAAGGCCACAGGAATGGGCCTAGGTGATGACGACACCCAATTTCTCTCTCACTAGAATTTCCAGCATCACTGCTCTGAGCTCCCCAGCAAGGCCTGGCTGGCCCCCCACCTGTCTACTCACAAGAACCCAGAGACACCCAAGGCTGGAGGCTGTGGAAGCCAGGTAAGGCTTACTAACATCCTCACCCAGAGGGCCTGGGCCAGGGAGAGGCTGGGTGATGTTATGAGCAAGGCCCATATTGCAGTAGCTGGAGGCATGGGGCAGAAAGTGCTCCTTTCGCTTCGGTCGCTCACCTCACCTGCAGGGCAACTCCTGCCAAGAGCCGCACCCGATGGTTTCCTGGCCCACAGATGGCCCTGCCCTTACTGGCCTCCTCTCTCCTCTCTGATTTGGACCCAGCTGTCACCATGGAGCCTAGGCCAAAGGCACTTTTGGAAACACAGATGCCAGTAGAGGCCACAGCAGCTCAAGGCCTCACAGGGCCACTGCCACTCCCTCTGGAAAATTGGTCAGAGCCCAAAAGGAGCCCTTTGAAGGCCACCGCTGGCGGGACAGGTCCAAGTGGCACCTTTCCTCTCCTCTGTTCCCCTGGCCGGTGTGGCTGCCAATCTGATGCCAGACAAACACCTGAAGGTGTGCAAGGTACTGCATCTCTTGGCAAGTTCACAGTCTGTCCAGTTCATGCCATTCCCTCTTCCTCCTGAGAGCAGCACGTTGCATATTAAAAATGTCCCATCCAGGATGCAATGTAAACAATGCAGAAGGAAGGTCTAGCTGCTGGGCAAAGCTGGGATGTCCTGGGAGGCTCCTGCCTTATACCTGGAGAGCATGTAGAGTGAGGGAATGGGTTACCCTATGGCATGAGCCCACCCTCCATGGCTGCCCTAGGCCTCTCTTGGAGAAGCCAACAGGGCAGGTGAGGTGAAGGGAAGGTAGGGAAGCCCTACCCGGTTTTCTGCCCCAGCACACACACATGCCTGGGAGCCTGTGCGCATAAGGTGGGCCAATAGAGGAAGCCAGGGAGAAGGGGCAGGAGGGGCACAAGGCAACCACCCTCACCCCCCAGCAGCTGGGAAGCAGTGCCTGAAAGCTGGCCAGGTGCCACGGCTGCCCAGCCCAGCACTAACACAGTGGGAAGAGACCAGGCCCGGCTCACTAGCACGGTTCCTGTTTCACACCCTCTGTGGCAACAAGGCCAGCAGGGACCCAAGGGACAATGAACCTGGCCTGCCAAGGAAGGGTCCTGACCCACCCCAGAGTGGCTCCTGGGGTCAAGAGTAACCAGGCCACTTTCCCATCCTCAAAAGGCAGGAGGACACATGCTGGAAGGGCAGATGAGCCCAATACTCACCTCTGTGGCAATGACACATTCATTCCTCTCCTCTGATATCAAACACACGGACTGGTACATGGAGTCCCTGGGGGAGCATATCGCTGATATCCGACACTCTGGTTTTTCACTGAGGGAACACAAGACAGGCCGCTGAGGGAGGGATTGATAGAGGGTTATGGGGAGGGTGGGGGCATTAACTTGGACCCTGGAGAGCCAAAGGGCACTGGCAGAAGTAGCTCTGGGAGAAGACACGGGGACTGGGGAGCAGTTAGGAATAGGCCCCTAAAAGAGCCACAGGACCCCCAACTTCATTGGAGAGTCTCCAGACTGGCAAAAGCTAGCACTGCCACTAGAGGCAAGCCATGCCATAGAAAGATGGAAGTCACAAGAGGCACAATGTGAACACTTGACATTTGTGAATGAACGGATGAATGAATGAATAAATGAAGGAATGTGAGAGAGGCACAAAAGACCCCTGGCAGAAATCTTATTGGAAGATCAGTAGCAAAGCCCCCTATTTGCTTAAAAGCAGTCAAGGGCCTGGTGCCAGCCTCCCACCTGTCTTGGAGGAGCCCAGGCAGTACCTGGCAGGGGTCCGTGGCCAGGCCCTGGGCCTCCAGGTGCTGCTCACCTGTGTAACCGCAGTGGTGCCTTCTCCCCTAAGCTCTTGTCACTGTGGGAATACTTCCCGGACATGGTCCCCCGCCCCAGCGGTCCTGGGGCCAGATTATAGTCCAATGTGTGGTTCTGCTGTTTGCCACAGTTGGACTTGTCCAGGCCACAGTCCACTTCCAGCTCCTTCTTCTGGTTTGTGTTCTTGAGCTGGGCAGCAGGGATCAGGTTGTCCTTCTGGAAGTCTGACAAGTTGTTCATGGCCTCCCTGCTGCCGTCGTCTGGCCGCCGAAGCCGCAGCTGCCGCACAGCCACTGCCACCATGCCCAGCAACACCAGTACCACCACCAGCCCCACACCCAGGGAGACAGCCACCCAGGGGAAGCTGGGTGGCATGCTCACAGGGAACTCGCAGTGGCTGCCCACAAAACCATAAGGGCAGTTGCAGACGAAGTTGTCCGGAGAGGGGCCAGTGTAGCAGGTGGCCCCATTGTAGCAGGGTCCCGAGGCACAGGCATCACTAGGTGTCCGCACTTCACAGCGCCGGCCAGAGAAGCCAGCAGGGCAGGTGCACACGAGCCCATTCTCCAGGTCATGGCAGGTGCCGCCATGGGCACAAGGGCTGCGGGCACAGTCGCTGATATGAAGTTCACAGTGGGTGCCTGTGAATCCAGGACGGCAGCGGCATATGCGGTTCGGGCCTCTATTCAGGCACTGGCCCCCTGTGGGTACACACAGGGCACAAGTCAGCAATTGCCTGGGAACCTCTCTGGTGCAGAGGGTGAGTGCTCCATCCCAGGAATGAGCTCAGGTCTTCCTGCCTCCATGAATGCAGCCAGCATTTACAGGTCCCACTACAAAGAGCACTGCACAAAGAGTCAGGAGACCTGGAGTTGAGGTGACCTTGGTCACTACGCTTCTATGAGCTTATGTATAAAAATTACTGGGATCTCACAGAGCTTTACAACAGAATCAGACAGATATGCTTGGGTTTGAATCTCAGCTATCTCTAGCTGGGGATCTGGCACCTGTTGCTTTACCTTTTCTAAGCCTCTGTTTCCTCATTTGTTAATTAGAGTATAATGCTATCCCCTCCATAGGAGATCTCTGAGGGTTAGGTGGGATGATGCATGATGGCAGAAGCACATGCCTGGTATATAGTAAATGCTCAAATAAATATAATTATCATTGCTTCATTTAATCTTTGTAACCACATGAAACACAGAAGACTGTGTTTCCTATTCAGTGATGAAGAAACTGGCTCTGGGGAGCTAACTAAGTGATTAGCCAGATAGCAGACTCCATCTCAGCCCTCTGACCCGTCTCCAGCTCCTAGAGCTTATTTTCTGCACGGTGTTGTCCGCCTGCCTCATCAGGGGTCACCAAGAGGCCAAGGAGACAAAGCTAACCAGCATACTTTTCATCGCAAAAGATGCTGAACATTCTCGATTCCTTGTGCCATACCAGGCTCCCCTTGGCCGTGGGGTGAGGTGAAGCTTTCAGGAGCAGGGCCCTGACCACACCAGCCTCCCTCAAAGAGCGACACAAAGCTTCCAACATCCCTCTCTCTAGCCCAGGACTTCCTGGGGAAGGTCAGAGGCCACCACAGCAGAGTCAGGGCTCTGACACAGGACTAGGAAGGGAAGCCACACAGGGTGCACACTACTCCTAAGCCATGCACCCAGTACTAACCTGCTCCTTTTCCAAAGCCACCCTACTAATCAAGCAAGCTCTTCACCATCCAGAGCAGATAGGGACCCATCTCAGCCTGTCCAGAGTGACAGACGAGTCTTCCCTCCTCTCCTGACCCTCCTTTATCAGACGGCTCTCTTGTCCCCGGGGCTGGTACACCAGGTTAGCAAGGCAATAGGACGCACCATTGGCACATGGATTGCTGGTACACCTATCCACTTTCTTCTCGCAGTTGGAGCCAGTGAAGCTTGGGGGACATTCGCAGGCATAGCTGGCACCCTGGTTGCGCTCCCGGCAGGAGCCCCCATTGAAGCAAGGGGAGTCAGCACAGCTCAAGGTGCTGTGTTCGCAGTGCAGGCCATAGTAACCCGGAGGACAGAGGCAATGGTAGCCATCCTCTTGGTCCTGGAGAGAGACCCAAAAGGGGCCAAAGTCATACCCTGGGTAGCAAGGATGCATGGCTGGGAATTAGGCCCCACCTGCCCAGAATGCCTGCCCATGGCTGCATATATATGGGCCGCCTGGGGTAGGGACACTTGGGGCACCACCTGGCCAGACTTCTGCCTTCCTGTGCTGGCCTGGGCCTCACCTTACAGCTGCCTCCATTGCGACAGGGGTTGCTGTCACACTTGCTGAGCTTCAGCTCACAGTCCACGCCAGTGTAGCCTGGGCGACAGATGCAGGTATAGCTCCGCTGCCCACTGTTGGAGCACGTTGCCCCATTCTTGCATGGGGAGTGGTGGGTGCAATAGTTGAGATCTGTAGAGGCAGGAACCAACCAGCTGAGCAGAGTAAGAGAATTGTCCCCACCTCCAGGTTCCTTGTAGTACAAGTTCATTGCCCATGTTTGGCCCAGAAGCCTCAACTCAAAGTCTTCCAGGCCCAAATACCCTTCCTCCTCTCCTAATGAAAGCATGTATATTGAAGTACCTTGAACCACATCTGACCAGTGCAAATCAAAGGTGAAAAACACAGAAAACTAACTGCCTGCCAAGTAAGCTCACAAACACCGGCAGGTAGGGTAAAATGAAGGTTAGGAATAGGAGTAGATGGCAAGGCCACGTGTTGAGGAGGAAGTCCGTAAAGGCTTCATGGAGGAGGGGCAGCTGAGATAAGCCTGGAAGGGGAGATAATATTTTGACAGGTGGAAATGGTAGAGAGGAGGCAAGAGCCACCACAGGTAGTGATCAGGCATTTTTTAAAGGGGAATTCGTTACAATGGTATTTTGAAGTATTAGTATTTGTTTTCTTATTTGAGAAGGACAAGGAGGGAGAACCAGACAGAGTAAATATAAAGACTGTGAGGGCTGTGTTTGCCTGTGATGAGTATATGACTATGTCACTTAGGAGCAAATGTGGGCAGAGGAAAGAGAATGGGCAGGAACCAGGGTGTGAATGTGTGTGTGTATGTGTGTGCAAGTGTGTGTGTGTGTGTGTGTGTGTGTGTGTGTGTGTGTGTGTGTGTTTGGGGGAGAAGGGGAGAAAGCAACACACACGCACAATACAGGGGCTGAATTCCAACCCCTTGTTGGCCAGCAATTCAGGTCCTAGGCAAGTTCTTTCTATCCTGGCAAGCCCCCTGCCCACCCTACTTAAGCTTGTGCTGGTGTTTCCATGGCAGCAGCCGTCCCATTTGACCCTGAAAATAGGAGGAACATGCTGCAGTTGGCTCACAGAATGAAGGAGATAAACGCTCCCTCCCCCACACTTGGGGCTGGCAGATCCCTGTATAGCTAGAAGAGTGACTGGCCCCACCAAACATCAGAAAGAGACTGTGTGGGCTCAGGCAGAAACAGCCCACACCAAGAAGTCAGTTAGATGTCACTCCACCCAGAGGCCCAGCTCACACAGCCTCTAGGCAGCTGGTGGGCACACCCCACCAGACAGCTGTTTAGGGGAGAGTTATTCAAACAGCCCTGGCAGGTAAGCAAACACTTAGGGGATTAATAGGTAACTATGAGGTAGAAAGAGGAACTGAGCCCAGCATCCCTCTCTCTTTGGCCTTATTAGAATTTATGAGTATGAGCTCCAGGCTGCCAATTTCTCAATCTCCTGGCTTTTCCAGCCACCCTGCCTCCCCAACACCTGAGGAAGAAGGACCCACCAACTTATTCTAGGCCAGTTGTAAAGATCATTAAAAGTCCCAAGCTCCTTGAAGAATAATGGAGAAAGCCAGCTCAGTAGTCAGCAAGTTAGGGTCCAGATGATAACTCTGGTTCTCACCCCTTACCCATCTTTCCCATCCCCTCTGCATCCTTTCTTTGCCCTGACTCACCTTGGTCACAGAATAGGCCTCCCCAGCCCTCGTCACAGGTACATTGCCAGGGAGTGGTGCAGGTGCCATGACGACAGCCATTGTGGGGGATGCATTCATTGCATAGGCGGCCCTGCCAGCCTGGGCGGCAGCTGTGGAACAAAAGAGAGGCTGAGGGTGATCTGAGGGCCTGGCAAGGGGATGCCCCCTTCCCACTTCCTGTCCCCTACTCACATGCACTCTGCTGGCTTGCTGCAGTAGCCATTCTGTTCATGACAGCCAGAAAGACAGATAGCTGAGGAAAGAAAATAGGGCTGGGTGAGGTTGGGATACCAATGACTCTGAAGCCCCACTTTCTCTCTCCTGGCTTTGGGGGTGCCCCAGCTCTCTCGGGCTCACTTCCCACTCCTGGCCTTCCAGAGGAGCCATGGGTGTCTTAAAGGGAACCAGTGGCACAGGGAAGGAGAGTCCAGGCTAGATAGAATGTAATAAGAGGGTCCTTGTGGGCTTTGGCACAAGGGGGAGGAGCACTAAAAAGACAGAGATCGGAACCCAAACCTGTTCTAAGTATCCCCAGCTATTTCTGAGGCCCAGCTAGTGGGCAACCCAAAACTACGCTGTGAGGGAGGCAGGCTGTGGTGAGAAGATGCCACTGTTTGTTTTCTTTTTCTTTGCTCAGGGGACCCTCCCCCCTCCAGGCAGGCAGGAAGAAGCTTGGCTGCTTACGCTGGTCGCAGTACTCCCCAGTCCAGCCGGGCAGGCAAGACAGGCTGCCATTTGGCTGGCACACGTAGTGGCCGAAGTGGTCATTGCGCTTCTTGCACAGGCGTGAGCAGCTATCCCCATAGTAGTTGTCACCGCAGATGACCCGGTAAGAGTAGCTCAGCCGTGTTGGGAGAGGGCCGGTCTGCTCATCCAGTAACCAGTTCTGGCCCACAGCTAGAGAGCCCTGAATGGTGATCTTGCTGATGAGGGCATTCGGTGGCATGGCCTCTGAAGGGGCAGAGGGCCAGGTCAAGGAAGGGCAGCCAAGGGTGCCAGCAACTGCTGGATCAAAACAGTTGTCCAGATGACCCCCTCCTGCCAGCAGGCAGAGGCCAGAGGAACCCAAGGGTCCCATTGCTTAGTTCCCCTGTGTGTGTGAGTGTTCAGGGGGCCTGATATCATTCAAAGAGGGGACAATAGAAGGATGTTAAGATATCCCAGGGTTCTGGAACCAGATAGGCAGAGGAAAGAGGAAAAGAGGTCAAAATGGAAAAAAAAAAAAAAAAGAAAGAAAGAAAGAAATGAAAAGAAAAAAGAAAAGAAAAACTCTCCATTCTGGGGAAGACCCTAGAAACAAGGGGTCCTCTGGTGCCCATTCAGGGGTTCTGCCCTCAGAGATGGGTAATGCTTTTCTTTTTCCTTTTTAAAGTGAGAATTGTTGTGCTGCTGAAATATCCTTTTCCTCTGTGTCAGAACAACATCCCAAAGCCATTATTCCCTTTCCAAAGGAGCGGAATTCGCGAAAGGTGTAAAATACAGGAAGGGGCCCGTCAGCGGCGCTGGCAGCTTCGGCCTTTTCTCACCGCCGTGCTCCCCGCGTTCCCACGCCAAAAATAACCCGCAGGAAACGCAATTGTGCTCAGAGTCCAGGCAGCAGGCGGAATCCGAGCGTCCAGCGCGGGGCGCAGCTCCCAGCCTAGCTAAGCGTCCTGCCCCCCCACCCCCCCACCCCGCACTTCCCCCGCCTATTATTACTGGTTAACTCTTTCGGCACTGCGCCGTGTCGCCCCCCTGTGGCTGCGGAGAGAGCTACTCACCTGGCCGCAGGTCGTCTCCCGGCGCGTGCCAAGCTTCGATGATGAGTGAGAAGGTACCCTGCGAAGCGAAAGGAGGCGGGGAGAAGACAGAGATGGAGAGGTGAGCAGGGGGGAGGTGGTGGTGCCTTGCGGCAGCGGGTTTAATTATTCTAATTGCAGGATACAGTTACTGCGCCCGGGTCAACATAACGGGTCTGCGTGCGGCATCGCGCGCGAGCACAGGAAAGCGGAGAACTCCGGGTAGGAGGAGGGTTGAGGGATTTGGGAATGTATGCGAGAGCCATTCGAAGGTGGGGGAAGCGCTGGTAAGGTGAGTGATGGAAACCGTATCCCAAGAGCTGGGAGAAGAGAGAGTGTAAAACTGGGAAGAAGGAGAGTGGCGAGAGCCTTTCCGAGGATGAGGTCCCGTGAGAGAGTCGGAAAAAAAGGATCAGAAAAGAACTCCCCTTGTTTTGCCTTGTTTTGTTTTGAAGAGGAGCGAGGAAATCTGGGGAGAGGGCTTTGGTCCCAGGGAGCCCCCTTCTCTCGGCTTTATCGTGACCTCCCAGCGCTCCCAGACTTTGCTCACCGGCCAGGTAAAATTGAAAGGCAATTGGAGAGGGTTGCGTCCCCCGCCGCTACTGTCGTCCCCGACGGCGAAGGAGTTGGTGCCCAACACAGGTGTGGAGACGCTGCCGAAGGTGCAGGGACCGGGCGAGAAGACCGCCTGGAAGTGCATAAGGCAGACGCGGAAGAAGGTTCGGCAGCCGGGTTCGCACGGCCGCCCGCTGGCCAGTACGCCGCGCTCGTTGGCAAACTCCCGCAGCTGCAGCTGGAAGACTCCGGAGCCGGCTGCGCGCTATTGCACAGGGACGAGGGAAGGAGGGAGGGGAGCCATCAGCTCAGCGGACGCCCGCGTTTCAGGCCCCGAGCGCGGCGGGAGGGGGCAGAGGGGCGCGGGACGTTACCTGCTGCCAAAGTGCCACCAGAAACAGTAGCGCCCAACCAGAGGCGCTACGGGACGCGGCTGCCATTCCCTGGGGCGTCGCTCTTTCCACCCGTCCGACCTGAAGCCGGCTCGGTTCGGGACGCTGCTTCCCCGTGCGTCCACCCGCCGGAGGAGTCTCTGAAAAACCAGGCTCCGCTCGGGGCTTTCCTCCCGCCTCGCCTTCTCGCTAGCTCTGCTCAAATTGCTGCGGTAGGTAATCCAGGTGAGGGCGTCTGGGCGGCGGCCGCGCTGAGGACGTGTCCTCGGGCTAATCCTGGGGCTGCAAGCCGGCTAGTGCCCGGGTACACTGCACTGAGGCGGCTTGAGCTGCGGCTCTTGGCCTTGTGTTCGCAGCTTGCGCTCAGCGCCGCTACTGAAACCTGCGCGCTCGGGAGCCTTCCTTATATATATTGGCTCCTCTCCTCGTAGCCTGTCACTCACTCATGGTCACTCTCCCCTCCCCTCCGGGCCTCTTGCTGCTACAGCCCCAGCGCCGCCCGGAGGGGGCCTCCGCCCCCGCCATCCCCGCCATCCCCGCCTCCCCCCACTCCCCGCCAGCCAGTCAGGCACAGGTCCCCGCCTCTCCGAGCCGCTCTCAGCCTATGGGTCCCCCAGCTCTGCTCGTGCGGAGAAGACCAGTTCTCCGCAATCGCAGGGTTACGCGCGGAGACCCCTGCAGTGGGAGAATCACTGGAGGGCCGGGAGAATGGGGCGGGAGGTGAGCGAGTGGTTCCCGGATGGTCGTGCGGGTGGAGACACTGGGGAGTCCCCGTGGGCAGTGCGTCTGGCGGCAACGCTAGTTACCTGCAGCCCTCGAGCAGGTAAAAAAGACTTATATCCGGAAAGTGAAACCAGCGCCAACGGACTCCGATCTCCTTCACTGAGCTTCGGGAGCCCTCGCCTGATCGGCCCTCAACCTTCGAGCGTCCACCCACCATGAGTCCCCGGCACAGCAGGGAAGCCAGCGGGCACATTAATCTCTCTGTGACCACTTGAAGCAAGGATAGGGGCCAAGCGTCTAAGACTCAGGGGCTCCCTCCCTGCACCTGGTGGGCGTCTCCCTTCTTATTGCGGGAGGCGTGTCCAGCGCGTGCCTGCTCCCTTCTAACCCCAGCCTTGGCTTGGCGCGTGCCTGCCCCAAGACGCCAGATCACAGAGCTGGGGGAAGGGGGCGTGGTCCCCGAAGTAGGAGAAGGGGGGCATCAGCTGTATGGTAATGAGGGTCTGGCCCCACCTCCAGCGCCTCCCCTCACCTGGGTTCAGCTTTTGCTCCCGCGCCCACCATCTACCCCCCAACCTAGCAGCCCCAAGCCCCCTCCCGCGTCCTGTCGCTCCCTTGGGGAGCTCTTCTGGATCCAGACTTGGCTCCAGCCACTGGAGAGTCAAGATGAAGAAGGGCTGAGGCCGGGCAGACCTGGGTTCTCTCCTCATAGGGCGAGATGCAGAGTGGAACTGGAAGCGCGCGAACTCATTTGAGTTTCAGGAGGCTTCACCCGTCTCGCCTTCGCGGCTCCCGCGGGTGGCCCCACTTCTCCGAGCGGCGGCAGTGCAGCTGCTTTCCCGGAACCTGGCGTGATCCCCGGAGACCTTAGACTGGGGAGGGCCAGCTTCTCCCAGTCTCGAGGGTGCCGGAGAGCTCTCTCTCTGCGACGCCGAGGGCGGCGGGGGCCCTGTAGCTTCAGCTGTCAGCCCTCCCGCACAGCGATGGCTGTCGTCCTGCGATAAGATCGGCGCGGGGGGAGTAGGGACGCGGCGCGGGCCCGGGGGAGGATGGAGAGGGGGGCAGGTCGGAGCCTAACAGCTGCCTATGCCGAGCATGGTCTGATTTTTTGACTCGGGGTGGTGGTGGAGGATTGGGGAGGGGGTGGGGGAAGGATGAAAAACAAGAGGTTGGGAGCGTGGGTTGGGGGAGGGGCGAGGTGAAGAGACGGGCTCCGGGGTCCCCCACGCACGGCCACCCCTCCCAGCCACCATCTGGCGCGAGCGGGTTGGCGTGGGGAACTGAGGTGGGGCGGGGGCCGGCAGATGGGCCCAGGCTGCGCTCCAGAGTTAATGTAGGTTATGGGCAGGCGGAGTCCCCAGGCCCTAGGGAGGGGGGAGCCCAGGGCTTGCCTCCCAGTGAATCTGATAAGTGGGTTTCTCATCCTCTCTCCGCCCATACTCTACGGGTCCCTGGATCTACCTAGGGTGGCAGAGTGCCCCTCATTCTCCTTCGAGTTGACATCCAGCCCTACCTAGTCTGTCCACTTCCCCCCAAATTCTGGTCTGAGAGTTCATAAAAACTTAGTTCTTTTCTGGCGCTGGCACTTGCCGGACTCTCAAGAGAGACATCCAGTCCCACAGGGGGCATCTTGTTCACAGTAGTAGATCTGGAACATTCTCTACCCCTCATACGCATCCGAATTTATATGCCCCAAAGCACTTTGCAGTCAAGGACCAAACAAAAGTGTCATCATTACCTTCAGAGACACGAAATGCAAGGGATCCCAGAGATGTAGAAATCCTCTGACCTAAGGAGGAAAGGTATCACCACCATCAAAAGGCATTTATGAAGCACCTATCTGAAGTTCATTATTGTGCCAGGATGCCTCCCTTGTCCCTAAGTACCCACTAGCGCTCCAATCTGCTGGGGTCCAGCTTTGCCCTCATTTGATGAGTAGAGGGTCGGGCTGTGGGCAGGGAACCGAAATGCAAAGTCTGCACAACTGGGGCTCCTCCCTTTTTCTGCCACTGACAACTGCAGACAGAAGAACTAAATACGGGTACTGGGAGCTCCCAGGAGCAGGAAGCTGTGAGGCAATCGGAGGCTGCAAATCACTGGGGAGTTGGACCCACGTGGACATCTGCGGACCCTGCTGCTATCCAGACGCTGGCCCCACAGACCTAGGCTCCCGCGGGCTGATTGTGGGCCCTCTGAGGAGCCACGGTTCCTCACCCCGACTGGCACCCGAAACACTGCCCAGAGTCCTGAGCCAGAGCAGAGTCGAGGCCTGGCTCCATGCGAGGCCCACGGCCTCTGCCCCAGGAGCCTTCTGCTTTTGCCATCCTCTCCGCTTCACGGCCGCACACAGCTCCACAGCAGGCAGAACCTGCACTCCGCGGCAGAAGCGCCAAGGTTGTCTTCCAGCTGTGCCCCAAACTGACCCCCGGTTATTGGGGTGCGACAGGGGCCGCGTAGAGCCTCGGGATCCCTCCCCCAACTAGGTAGCCTATGCGCCCTCCGCTGGGCTGGCGGAGCAGCTTGGAGGCCTCCAGCGCCGTTTTGTCCACCCCACCTCTCCCCTACACCCCCGGAACAGCGTTCTTGTGGGGCAAACTGCACCCAAGTAGGAGCGCGGTGGGGGCCGGGCCACAGCGCCCACGGGTCAGACCAGCGGCCGGGGTAGTTAGCCTGGATTGGGCGGGGCACTTAAGCCTTTAGGGGTGCCACTTGCGGTCGCTGTGGAGAAGGGGCCACGTGCAGGGAGCGGCGGCCAGGGAGCTGCACAGAAGGCGGGGAGATTTGCAAACTGTTGCTGCCACATGGCTGCTCCATTCGATCCATTCACATTGAAATGAGGCCGGCGCGTGCCTCATCTGCCGCAGGGCGCTGCCACGCGTCAGCCCGGCCCGCCGCGTGCCAACTGGGGCAGTGGGGCTGGCAGGGCCTGCCAGCCGTGGGGGCGCAGCCCGGGCCCTGAGGCCATGAGGGGGGAGGTGGAGGGAGCCAAGCTACGCTAGCCGCTTAGGCGCCGCTGTTCCGCGGACCTTGGCCCTGCAGTTGGGAGAGAGCAGACGAGAAAGGACCAGGACGGACGGGTTTCGGAGGGGGGCCAGGATCGATGCCGCCGCTCCCCGCAGATGCGCCCCGGCAGCGCTACTCTCCATCTGCCGCTGCTCGCACCTGCCGGTCAATAAATCGATTTTACAATTTAATGCAGCAGCTTCCCGCCGGCCTGGGACAGATGCCGCCGCAGAACCACCTCCGCCCTCTCCCCTCCCCTCGGGGGGCGCCAGCGGTTAGGGCCGGGATTCCCGCTCGGCAGGCGGCGCCCCGCGGGGCCTGGTTCGCCTGTCACTGGAGTCACTACAAGGAACTGCCTGCTCTGGGTCTTTCCCGAGGGACAGGATAGGTTCCCCATAGGACAGGCCTGAGACGGGAGAAGAGAGGAAAATGATGACTTGGTGGTGGCCTTGAGGACTCATTTGGGGGCTTCATGGTGGTGGTAGGGGAGGCAGAATGCAGTGGCTGATAATAAGATGTGAGAGCCCCTGTGAGAGAAAGAGGAAAGAATAGGAACTGGGGCATGGTCGCAGAGAGACACTGAATTCTGAAGAACCTTCATGATGGAGATGGGGAGGGTTGAGGTAGAAAGGGGCCTCTCCCCAACCTGTGGTTGAGTCTGCTGAATAAGCATGACATGGACATGGCTTTTGGCACTTCCCAATCATGTGGTCTCGGGCTTGTAATTTAACTCTACACCTCAGTTTTCTTATCTGTGCAATGGGGATAATAATGATAGTGACCTGGGAGGGTGACTGTGGGACTAAATCTGATTATGCGTCGTAGGGTCCAATAAACATTAATTTCTTTTCCCACAGGTGACATCCTGACAGTCAGGGGTAGACTTGGAGTAGAGGGGAGGTCTCTTACAGTAAGTGAGTTCCAGAAGGAAAGGAAGGAAAAAAGAGCTAAATACAAACAGCCATAAGGGATAAGGTGAAAAAAGAGATAAGGAAGCCAGGCGGGTCATTGTAAGGAGATGGACCTTGTGGAAAACTTCACGTGTGAGGGTCTTTTATGGGAAGAGGATGTGACAAGGTTCTTACCTGGAGGGAGAAGACTGGAGTTTTGAGAACGGGCTTGGAGAAGAGAGGAAGGTTTGGAAGAACTAATTGTCCATGGCCTTGGCCTTCCAGAAATGACCCTCTGGCTAGGGCCAAGTGTCCGTCTCAAGCTGACACCCCTCTTCCTTCATAGTGGCGTCTCAGCGCAGAGTTCGACTTCTGAACTATCCTGGTCATTGAGGCTCCTGGAAGCTCAGGGGACTCAGCCCTCCCCAAGTCACCAAGAGGACCCACAGACTGGACTGTCTGCCTGCTGATGGCTCATGACTGATGACCCAAATGTATCAAGGAAAGTAAGTCCAAGTTGGTGAGACCATTAAGCATGAAACAGAGTGCCTTCTCTGGCTCCTCAGGAGACTAGGAAAGCCTCCCACTTCCTCTCTCCCTGGGTCCCAGGAGCCTGAGGGCCTAGGGTAGCGCCATGCTCTTCTTCCTTTGCCTTTTCCGTATCCCTGGAGCTGGAGTAATAGTGTGGACCGGGCCCTCTCTTTCTGGATGAGAACAGCTTTGGCCTGCAGAGGCAATGGGTCCAAGAGAGGAGAAGCTGATGGCCCCTGACCTGAGAAGCCACTTTTAACTGCGTAGGAAGGAAATTCTCCCCAAGCCCCCCGTAATCTGGTCAGGAGGAAAGAAAGAAAGAGAGGAGGGGCAGGGTGGAGAGCTGCTGGCTGGAGGCAAGGGCCCTCTTT